CAGAATAGAATGACATATTATCATATGTCAAGTTTTGACATTTTTGCATATGGTATATTTGAAATTGTAACATGCGGTTCATAACGACAATTTGACTCGAAATACCAAGTGTGTGGTATCAAATTATTCGTAAAAAAATGCTTTTTCCAAATATGCTAATGAGCTACCCTCGTTCCATTTAAAAAAATTGAGATATGATTAAAAATACGATTTGGGCATCTTTTAACCGGCCAGGACAAGACACTAAAAACATTAGACGATCAAATTTATTTTTCCAAGGCTCCTTGATTAAAAATTCGTGTTTTTAAGACAACCATGGCACTCTAGATTGAAATTTAAAATACAATTTGTTTTTGACCGAATATGTCAAAAATTGACATATAACATGTCATTCGATTCAGAGTGTGATTTTCTACCGAATAAAGTAAAAAAATACCGAGATACCATTTAAAAATCAAAAGTTGTAGTCATTTCCGGTGAAACAGGAAGTGACTACAGTAAGTGACATACCATGAATCAATCAATACCGTGAAACAGGAAGTGACATACCATCAATCAATCCTAAATTATGTCATATACCAACATACCAAATCTCGTTTTTTTATCTGAAAAAATAAAAAAAGTTATAGGGGTAAGCCACTTTTGAGACGCACCCGGTATAAATCCAACAACGTCAAAAGATTATTGTTAAAAATTTGTTTACAACTATCATACTGTTTTAAGCCATATATACACCTCAAACATCTTTTTTTGAGTATAAATAAATAATTTATGTGACCCCCTTAATGATTTATATAACGCTTGCATAAAAATTGAAGAACAATGCAACTCCTAGGACTGAGAAATAGTTTAATCTAAATTACATTAATTTAATTTAAAAGAACCTGTTTTAGTTTTAATTAAAGAAGGTATAAGTAAGATTTTGTTAAAGTGAAAAGATGATAAAAGATATCTGAAGGTGGATCTTTTCGAAATCAATTTTTGTTCCCATTTAATTATCCACTTTCTCGAATCCCGAACTAATTCTAACCGCCCTACTCTCCAGGGTTCCATCTGTGACCAACCCCATTTAAAAGTCAATGAATCGGAGACAGACTGCCCGATTTCTTTGTGTAACCGCTTTTCCTCAGTCAAAACTTTTCCTCTTTTTCGCAGTTCGGCGAAAGCACGAGATTATTCGGGCTACACAAAACAAATCACTTTTTGCGAAAAGGAAAAAACTGTATTTTTGTGTTTTTTCGCTTGCCAGCTATCAACGCGGCAATTGTTGGAACTGAGGAGAGACTTTGTTTAAGTTTTAACATGTTGATGTCCAATATCCAATTCCAATTGCTATTTTTCTATACAGGGTGGTCCGAACTGTATTCCGGAAACTTCGGCAGCATATTCTGCAGATGAAAATAATTAAAAAAAATTGTATAAATGTATGTCCTAAAAATCCTTAGTTTCGGAGATGCAGGGTGTAGAAGTTTTATTTTTATTAGTTTTTTGGCATGAGAAATTTGATTTGGATGTCAATATGACTTCTACTTGTAGAAGGCGCCACCTATATATTTTTAACTCAATTTTTTTCAGTCAAATAACTATCTACAGTATCTTTTTGTAATAATGACATGTATTGACTATTTCCATTCTAAATATCTTGAGAACGGTTGTTCGTAGCGATACCAAGAGACATTATTTACGTAAAAAGTCACTAAAATGTATATTTTTTCATGTAGTTATATACAGGTACGGGCAAAAAGTTATTACTCTTCAAAACAGTTAAAACAAAGGTTAAAACACGTATAGGTGGCGCCCCCTATAAATAGAAGTCATATTGACATCAAAATCAGATTTCTCATGTCAAAAAACAGACACCAGTTTTCATCCAAATATTGACGTTACTTCATAAATTATTTGGAAAAAATCGAAATAAAAATGAAACTTCTACATCCTGTATCTCCGAAATTAAGCATTTTAGGACATACATTTATACGAACTTCTTTACTTCTTTACTTATTATCTGCAGAATATGCTGCCGAAGTTTCCGGAATGCAGTTCGGACCACCCTGTATAAAAATCACGTGTAAAAAACTTCTAAACTACTGGAGCGAGTTTAATCAAATTTTTCACACTGTGTGCAGTTGAGATAGTATTGCCAGTAGATTGCTTAAATAAATCAGCTATATAACGATTGCTAATTAAATGTAACTCAATAATATGGGCCCTAAGAGAACTAATACTAAAAGCCATGAAAAAATACATTAACAGCCTTATTTTTTTAGTATTAATATTGTCTATTATGATCTATTGTCATATTTATACTAGTCTCTGGTCTGTAGATGAATTGGTCAAACAAAACTCTCCAGTGCCATTCATACGCCCAGAAATCTTCTGCCGGCGTTGCAAAAGTAGTCACGAGAATTTCTCTAGGGCAGAGACAAGCGAAAAAGTCTATAGTAGAACATTCGCCAAAATTCAGGGCAGACCTGATAAGCAAATAGAGAAAGACAATCACAGCTGTAGATGGTTTAGGTCCTTGGATTGTAGGATGTAGAACGTTTAGGAGGGGGGTTAATCACCTCGACCTTACAGATCTAAATTTGAATTATTATTCTCTTTCTTGAGTTATAACGATTTATAACTCATCATACAGTTTCAGCCGTACCAAAGTTTATGGTTGTCGTCCCGGCGCACTCAGTGATGAGGTGTTTTGGTGTTTTCCTATTTCCCCACAGAATCTGCATTTACCGTTGTTTCTCAGCTTCAATCTACTGAGGTGTTTGTTAAGGATATAGTGCCCTGTTAGAAAATCCGTGACAATCCGAAGATTGTTCTTACTTAAACCAAGGAAAATCTTTGGTTTTTCTCGGTCGTAAGTTCTGAGAAATTTTTTCGAGTGTCTTAGACCGGGGTGGGAGGATTTCCATTCCAGGTTACGGATGGAGTCTTCCAGGTTCTTGAGTTTCGCCTGGTTGTTGGTTTCCACTTGGAAATCAGAACGGTTCTAGTCCAATTAGTGAAGTGTTCGCTTCTTTTCTAGTTAGATCCTTTGCTTTTTCATTGCCTTCTATCCCTTGGTGAGCGGGCACCCAGAGAAGGAGGACTTTATTTTCTTTATCTAATTTATTTAGCTTCTCTATCTATAGGCATTCTTTGACCTAAATCGAATCGATGGTTACTGAGTTGATCGCTTTTAGTGCTGCTTGACTATCGAATAAGATGGTTATTTCCTGTTTTCGATAGTTCTTGATTAAGATAAATTGTACGCAACTTTTGATAGCGCAGATTTCTGTCTAAAGGATACTGGGGTAGGGTGCCTATCGGTTCGGAGTATTTAATTTTCGACCCAAATACTCCTATCCTTATCTCTGCTTTGGGTTTGGAAGCATCAGTATACCACGTTATGGTATGTAGAAGACCATCTACATACTGAGCAAACGCTTCTTTCTTTCAATCGTTTTTCTTGCTCGATCCTACAGTGAGGTCTTCTCAAAGTTATACATTCTTGATATGTCATCCACCGGGAGTTGGAGGAGTGGAATTTTTTTTTGAGGGTATTCCGAGCCGCTGACATGAAAATTCTCCCAGTCCTGTTCCGTCAAATGATCATTCTGCAGGGCATTTTATGTAAGCTGAATAGGCATCTAAAGCTAATGGGACTGGCAGACGAAGTCATGTGCAGTTTTTTTCTTTCATCAGTGATAAGCCATTGACTCTCCAAGTTGGTAGATTTTTTGAAAAAAATTGGACTGGATACTCTAACTTAAGGATCAGAAGAGGACCACAATAAATTTGAAAAGCTCGCAGTAGATCAGGCTGATAGCCACCTAGAAGAATCTAATCTGATCTACTTGTCGGTAGTTTTTCTGTTCAAAACCCTGTGTCTTTTTTTTTGTTTTAACCCCTGATTTTCTCAACTCTCAACTGTTTCTAAATTGCCCTGTTTTGGAATCGAAAACATTAATATTCTTGAGCTTAACTGTTTATTGGTTTTCTCAAACATTATTAAAGCAATTCGAAATTTTGCCAATATTAATATCCGATATTCTGCATCAAAATTTTATTCAAATAAATGCTTTGCCACTTATAATTCAGAACTTCCGCCAATGTATAATTAATGTCGAATATCATTTCATAAATTGTTGCATTTCAAACTCGATAATGAATACTGAAATATCCACGGGCTACACATCGCAGTTTAATGCTCAACGGTTTTTAGATCTCTCGGTTTTGTTTTCTATTTAGTTTGTGGTGCAGTAAGATCTACCAATAACTATAGTTCATACAATAGCGCTCAATATTCCTAATTAAATATTAATAAACTGATTAAGTTGCTGTTATTAATATAACATCAAATAGTACTAAGGTTTGAATATATTGTGAAACACCTCTTTTTATATATAGCCTGTGTGGGTTTTTATTGTATTGTTCCTACGATGTTTTTATAAGAGGAATTATATATATTTATGTTATAATCACGCTTATATTAACCTAGCACATTACAGTATCAATACCAGTATATTTAGTGACCTATAGCAATATGATCTTAGGTACTGTCAGAGATGCATATGAAATTGTAAATGTCAAATGATATTGGGGATAAATTAACATATCTACCGTTTACATAGAAAAAATATAATTTCAGAAATTTGAATTATTCTTATAAAAAAATAATAAAATTATACAGTGTGTCCCAGAAATAAGTGCAAGTATTTTAACTGGTAGTATAGTTCAACCCCAGAAACACGCCTATGAGGTTTTTTTCGCGAAAAAAAAATTTGAAAAATCGAAATTTTTGGAAAAAAATTTTGGATTTTTTTTAGTTTTTAGTTAAAAAACATAATTTCTTTATAATAGGGCAACATAGGCATTAGATTAAATTTACAAGAAAGAAAATGCAGAAAAGAATTTTAGGTCGTTTTGGTGTATTGCGGTGATTTAGTGTTTTATTATGCTGTGTAACACCAAAGGTTCCAACCCCCCAACTGTAATAATAATAAAGTATTTTGTTGTAGGCTTGGTGCATTCTTCGCCGGTGCCGTCACTATTGATACAATACACGAGTTTAAACAGTGAGTATACGAAAAATTTGTTATATTGTTATGTGTTTTATTATTGAATTACTTAGTAAGTGAAAGTTGAGAAAATTCTTAAAAAAATTCGGATCCGAGTTTTGTTACGACTTGGATTGTTCCTGTTTACACTCTATACTAGGTTGTTCTCAGATTTCATCCTTTTAAAATGGCTGCCTCTAAAAAAAGCGAGCGGCAGTAGCTTTAATAATATTAATGCTGTTAAAAAAGAAGCAATTTAATACGAACAAAATTAGTAGGTGTAGATGTATTTGGGTAAAACCATATCTGCAAGTGCGAAACTCATTTGATATTGAAAATAATTTTTTGTTCTATACTAATATTAATTATATCGGCTATTGTTTCATAGGCATTATTTATTTTAATATCACGATACTCTTTACATCTTACATCCCATAAGCAGTCAAAAGATCGATAAATGCCAATAAATTGTCCGATCTGTTCAGTGGAAAATCTAGTTTCCGCCATTTTTATTTCCATAAATAAGCTTACGAGTAACCAACAAGTCGGTTTGTTCCCTACTTCAATACTAGTACAGATCCACGTGATAAATGTATCCAAGTAGATGTTTAATTCCGAGTTTGCGTCAAAGTAGCAAAACTCGGATCCGGGAACTCGTAAATGTTTCAGCTTAACGTGTATTATAATTTATTACTCAAGCTAATGAAACTTCATAGATTAGTAATAACATGCCGACTGTGTAACGATAAAATATTTAAGCACTAGTTGATTAAAAAGGAGTATACTATTATTATTATTTCATATTTTGTTCCGGTAGATTTGTATTGAGCGTTGACATTTTTTCGTAATTTTATTATCATTTGAAATGGTCACAAAATACCGCGTCGCGCAGTTTTGGTTCTTTTTCACTTAAGTTTTACTACCCGAAACAGCGTTATATCACACACACTTGGTACCTACCTGAGAATTTTATAGTTTACTACGATTTTCATATTATTCCAATGCGATCAACATGAATGATAACCGGTACTGCGCGAAATACAGAGTCGACAGAGTCGAAATTCTGCCGTACCGAGCGCTGCCTGTCGAGACAAAGGTTACATATGTCGAGATTTTAAAAATCGACTGAAATGTACCAAGCCTATATTGTAGTGAAGTAACGTTTTCTTTTGCTAAATTAAAATCGTTTTTATGTTATTTTATTCCAAAAACAATTTCTTGTACAATATACACAGACCTATACCGGGTGCGTCTCAAAAGTGGCTCAACTTTTTTATTTTTTCAGATAAAAAACTTATTCGTTGTAAAAAAATCGTATTTAAAATTTTAATCTAGAGTGCCATGGTTGTGTTAAAAACACTAATTTTTATTCAAGAAGCCTTTGAAAAGTAGATTTGATCGTCTAATGTTGTTCGTGACCGGTCGTATTTTTAATCACATCAAATTTTTTCAAATGGAACGAGGGTGGCTCATTAGCATATTTGGAAAAAGCATTTTTTTTACGAATAATTTGGTACCACACACTTGGTATTTCGAGTCAAATTATCGTTATAAACCTCATGTTACAATTTCAAATAAACCATATGAGAAAATGTCAAAAGTTGACATATGATATGTCATTCCATTCAGAGTGTCATTTTCTATCGAATAAAGTAAAGTGCCATTTAAAAATCAAAAGTTGTAGTCATTTCCGGAGAGTGACCGGAGAAAGTGACTAAAAACAATTGAATACGTCAATCAATCCCAATTTATGTCATATACTAACATACCAAACCTCGTTTTTTTATGTGAAAAAATAAAAAAGTTATAGGGGCGAGGCACTTTTGAGACGCACCCGGTATAATATTACTTAAAATATTTAATAATGCATAAGAAATACCTTTTATTTTGTACATAGATATTGAAACGTAATATTAGTTTTTAATTTGTCAGATGACAGATAGGTTTAGGGCATCCGGATTGTTTACGAGAGCACTTCCGTAATAAACTGCAATTTAAAATGAAAATGCGATAGTGTAGCACACAAAAAGCGTTTTGCCACGTCACTGAAATGCTCCCTATCAGAATTTAAATGAAACATCCAGGTATGCTCTCAAAGGACTGAACCGGATCAAAAACCCACTCTCGATTTGCCAGCGATGCAACTGAACTTCGATGGATCGAATTCATTAGTGTTTAGTCAGTGATTTGAAAGCTCGCTTAAAAGTTATTCAAGGTAGATATTTAAATTACCTGTATTGGTCCGGTTAACTAATCGCCTAAGCATGCATTTGTATAATTAATATAGTTTTCCGAAAATAGTTAAAATTTAAACAGATACTGGGATGACCCCCCTATTTAAAAATAAACATATTTCTTTAAATCCAAACATTCAGTTTTAAAACTATAAAATAAATAATTACTGACTTTCAAAATAATTAATAATAAATAAATTAGTTTCGTTTTATTTTAAAATAGGGCTGATTGTGGGTAATGATCATAAATACATAAGAGCAGTAATTATTCTATAAAGGCATAGTAAAAAATGAGTTTTTCCATAGGAACTGTTAAAATTGCTTTATATCTATTAAAAATAGTAGATAAAATAGTACTTTAATCGCAAGGGTAGATTAAATGATACTTTAACAGCGAGGATAGGTTAAAAACTTTATTTCTTCTCGCACGTTTTTTAACTGATTCCATTTTTGAAAATTTTTGTATTGCTTTTCATAAGTTATTCGGGATTTAAATGGAAGTAGTTTGGATATGGCGTTTGTCGCCTCAGCCTGAATATCTGTTGGTAATTTACTTATTTCGTTTTGAGCCATTTCTGGCTCCAATTCAGTCAGCAATCGACACGAAAGAGAATTACAAAATATTGACTCAAAACTGATAACTAAAGAGACAGCTTTATTTATTTGTCAAATTACATAGAAACCAACGCCAACCTAGCACAATATTTTTTCTACTCGTAATAAATTCCTTGAAATAATAATTTCTGAATATTTTTTAAAACGTAACTCGCTATGGAAAAAAATATTGTTTTATACAGGGTGCTACAAATTCGAGGTACGAGCATTGGTAACTCGGTAACCGTAATAGATACGAACATGGTTAAATTGGGGCAAAGTTGCTGTTTGGGATGTTCACCAAGATGCTATCAAAAAAGTTTTAAATATTTCAAGGATTGCTGAGTTTTTTTGGAAAAAACGGATATTTTTGAAAATCAATTTTATTTTTTCCTGTCGATACTTTTTAGAAAATCAAAAAACTGATTGCACATTCTCATAGCCACTTTATTAGGGCTATCTGATAGGGTATCTATCGGTAGTTTTAGATTTTCAAATCAGCTGATAATTTGTGAGATACATAGGTCAACTTAATTTTTTTAAATACGGACCTGCATTTTTTATTTCAGATTTTGAAAGAACTCGCTCTCCTGATTACAATGATATGCCACACTTAATATTTCTTTTTGTTTTGGAAATTTGGATACAATTTATTTAAACTAATTTCAAGTCCGGCTCTGTTTTTTTTTACTATTTAATATATTCATCGTTACAATATTGATAAGCTTTCAAACTTAACAGTGACGTGGGTTGAATACGGAAAATCAGATGCAATAAAATAATAAAAAGTAATATAAATAAAATGTAATATAAACAATCAAATCATTTCTGGTATCTGGACCGTCTCATGACGTCAAGTAATTCGACAGGTCCAAATTTTAAAAAAAGTGAAATCAACACATCTCGGCAGTTACAATAAAGAGTACAAAATGCATTCGAAAGTATAAGAAGATCTATTCAAAAGCTATAAATAAAACTGAACGAAAAATAAATTTGTGCTATAGTAGGTAGGGTGGTAACCCTTTCGAACATGTAGACTATGTAAAGCAGGGGCGGATACAGGAATTTATTTTAGGGGGGGGGCCCAAAATAAAAAGTAATGTAGAATATGCTTTTTAGGGCGCCATTTTTAATCCAAAAGCCTAATATTTAACACAATTTATAGGTTTTAGGGGGGCCCGGGCCCCATGGGCCCCCCCTCTATATCCGCCACTGATGTAAAGCATTAGAAGTAGTTTGTAGAAGTTAATTTATTCATAATAACTACGATTAATATTATGCAAATTATTAGATCGTACACTCAGAATTTCAAATTCACAATAAGAAAAGTTAAAAATAATATCTTTAAATTGCTGATCTGGATATTATTTATTTGAATCTTTCAATTGGCTCAATTTTCCTTATTCAATGTTTATTAGTACTGATCAATATTGTTGCGATGAATATAATCAGATTAAATAATTTAAAAAACAGGGTCGGACTTGAATTTTTTTAAAATAATAATTAAATAGTTGTGTTGCTGTTAAGGTACCCAAAACAAAAAAAAAGTATAAAGTGTGGCATATCATTGTACTCAGGAGACTGAGTTCTTTCAAAATGTGAAATAAAAAATGCAGGTCCATTTTTAAAAAAATTAAGTTGGCCTCTGTATCTCACAAATTATCAGCTAATTTGAAAATCTAAAAATACTATCAGATAGCCCTAATAAAGTGGCCATGAGAATATGTAATTAGTTTTTTGATTTTCTAAAAAGTAACGACAGGATAAAATAAAATTTGTTTTCAAAAAAATCCGTTTTTTCCAAAAAACTCAGCAATCAACAACATCAAACAAGTTATTGCCGTTTGAAGCTAATAATTATTTAAAATAAATTTTTAGACACTCTGTATAAGGTAGTATTATTTTTATTATTGCAACACAATAACTGATCAGTAAATAAACTTCAGTAAATATTTAGGGTTAAAAACTTTGATACCCTTGGAGAAATGTAGCCTTAAAATTTTTACAGCAATTTCACAAAATTGAAAATATTTCAAAAACGGTAAGGTTTAAGTATAATAAACCTCAATCAAATTTACCTTTATTTTAATCGTAGAAACTAAAAATGTAATAATATACAGGGTGTTTGGTTTGGTTTGGTTTTATTACCATTAAAAAAATACAACTTTGATATTTTTTACTTATTTGGGA